ATTATATATATATATAATAATAATATATATATATATATATAGTGTGTGTATGTGTGTAAAATTATTTCCGGCATAAGAGATTATATTTTATCTAAAAATGGCCAAGAGAAAGAAACATTCAATTGAGTTATAGGCAAATGATAAAACGTGAAAACGTGCATCTTTTATTTTCCGCTAGTGTGTTATATAATTAACTATATTTTATCGTTGGAATCAAGTTGTCTAATAGCATGTACCGAGAGATTATAGTATACAAGACGCAAAAAGAGAGAGAAAGAAATAGTTTTCGTCGTGTTGGAATGCAATTGAACTTTATCGCTCTAAGAGCGAGACATCAAACGTAGCAGGTACCTATTATAAATTAATGTATTATGTACCATAGCACGAAGCTCCGTCATGTAGGTATGTATGTATAGCAGAATCACATGTTAAACGCGTTTCAAGGCGATGCCGTCTTACAACAGTGCTTCGCTTGATCTCATCATCGTCGGGAGAATTCTTCGCTACATTCGGCATGGGTGAACCTAGTAAATCTAGTACTTATCACATATATATTGATCCATAGTGTTTGATAAATGTATTTTGACGAATACAACCATTTGAAACGCATGATAACACTACAGACATTGGAAGCTGAATTTTTGTGTCATTAAACATTTGCTACGTCATTGTGTAATTTTATCTTAATAATAAAACAATTATAACTATAATAATATTATCCCTGCATATATATATATATATAATCTTTGATACATAAAACAGAAATGTTTAAGTCCGCGGATCTTGCTTCGTCAGCGACACCATTTTGAATTCCATATATTAAGTAATGAATGAAGCATTTGTCAAACATTTCTGCTCGTGCTTCATCGAATTGAAAAAGTGAAGAGACTGCGCGCAATGGAAATTTTGCTTGATGATAAGCTGACGTTATATGTTGATATCTGCAATTTTCTTATCTCGCTTTCAAGTCAATGTGTCCGAAATTCGATTAATTCGAGAAATTAATTCTTCATGAAGGAAAAGCAAATAGGTTTAATTATGGTATCTTCCGAATGAATATGTTTAATTATGATATGTTTGTTTCGATACACTTAATTACGATTGATAGTTCATGTTTCGCGATGAATATACAAATAGCATATATATATATATATATATATATATATATATATAAAGTCTTAGCAGCTTTCGGTTTGTCTCTCCAGTTGGACGTAATAACATCAGATATATTGGTAAATTTGTTTCCTTATATTGTAAATACTTCTATTATGTAGAACGTTTATATTTACATAATTACATGTTGCATTACATAATAATAAAAATTAATCAAGTTTTTTTATAAATTTAGCTTATTTGATTTATTAATGATAAAATGTTGACAAAGGCGAAATTTCAGGTTCAATCAGTGATTTAAAAGAAAAAGATATATCCTCTTTGATTGAGAAGAAATAGAAATAACGATTCATATATAAGAATTCACATCAGAATCACATATAAGAATTTTTAAAGATAATTATAATATGTATTATAATATGTATTATAATATAATATTAAAGATAATTATAATATGTGATACTTAATTATCACCGATTTTGCTGAGTCGTTTGTCGCAATTTGTTCTCACCTATCAAGTTTATCGAAGATCACAGTAAGAGTATTTGATCGATAATTGAGATTATAAAGTTTCCATGATAAATGTTTCTCTTATAATACCGTTTTTCTTTGATATATATTTTTTAATGTTATTTATATCAATATATAATGATAAATAATGTAAGTCTAACTCTTTATATACATTTAGCTTATTTTATATAAATTTTATTTATAATTTAACAGAAAAGGAATTAATGAAAGATAATCTTTAATTAATAAAAGATTAATTAAATAACAACTCTTTTGCTCCGTTAGTAACATTTTGTTATTGAATATGTTGTGACTTTTTAAATTTTAGCGAGTTTATATTTTTTATTAATTTAAAATTATTTTATACATAACAATGTAAAGCAATATATGAAAATCCATGACAATAAAAGTTCTTCATATTATCTAATGCAAATTAAATTATACATTTATACATTTTTATTCGGATATTATTATATTACATCAATAATTGTCAAACATTATATTAAGAGTGCGTATTCAAAACGACAGCAGCCATGTGTTCTCTCATGTATTATCAATAGCGTCAATAACTAACACTTATTCAACATAAGTGCTCTAAGCGAATCAAGAGCGTTTATCATTCACCCACCGAGTGAATACCCCCACGACAAATTACGAAAGGTAAACACTCCGTTATTGAATCGTATATATGCGTAGCTTTGGAAAGATTCCATTTTGTCTGTATTTAAAACGGTTATAAACAAATAAAAATGAAAAATTTGAGAAATGTCATTATGATAATGAGATAACCGCTGCCACATGTAGCGTATCTTGTGTTTCCATAAATATCATTTATTTTCCGTCTTAGATACTCTTAAATAATATAAAACATAAAAAGACAATATCTTTCAAAATTAATTAAATTATTAATTACTTTCAAAATTAATTTATCTTTCATATTTTCATTATATTTACGTCGAAAACATGTCTATATATTTGATGTTGCTCCTACTCAGCCTTCTTTACTTAGAATAAGATATTAATTTTGTCATATTTTCTTTTTCAGGCAATATTTATAAATATTGCACGGGGAGAATGATGTACATTAACGTTGCTGTTTGCCTCTCCGTTCTTCTGCTTGTGATCGGATTATCCGTAGGGCTAACCGTGAGACCCTTTAAAGGACGAGACGCTCTCGACTCGGCACCTCTTATCGATGGGTAATTTAATCATATAATCGAGGAGGACGATAAAAAAACAAATTCTAGTACATCTTTATTCGATTGATACCGTCGGACATGACGATATTGGCTGATAATTTCAGGCAATTCCAAAACACTAAGTTACATCAAATTACGTCAATCACAAATCAATTTCGACTGATAAAATATATGACTGAGTTTGAGGTTATCAATTTTTCTATCTTATAATTAGAAGATTCATTTCTTAGCACACAAATATTTTTTATTTTATTTGATATAATATGATTTGATTAATATAAATTTGATTTGATATGTGTGGTATTTGTAAAACATATAAAGGAAGATCTCCTTTATATATTTTACAAATTGTTGTTCTAAATATCACGTCAACGTCTATAAATAATTACGAGATTTCTCAGGTAAAAAAAAAGATAAATAAATAATCGATATTATCATGTGTGCTCTTATCGCCCCTTGTACTTCTTTTCCTCTTTTTTTTCTTCATCAGCTAAACCTATCTTCAATCATTATGTTTGCAGCCACAATGATTTACCGTACAATCTTTACGGGAAGTTAAATAACAAGTTATCGGACTACCCTTTCGAAAGCGATCTAACTCATGATGATGTCTGGGGAAAAACCGCTTGTTCCACATGTTACACCGATCTACCCCGTCTGAAAGCGGGGAAAGTTGGTGGACAGGTGAGTCACGAAATGAGAGGCCATGTGAGATTAATTAGCTTTAAGAACTCTGTATAGTCTATTTACTCCACCATTACTAGATTAATTATTTTATCTTGAATATCTGTCTCTCTGTCCCGAGAAATACTCCTTTTACCACCTTTCCTTGCTCAGGCCTTTGTCCATCGCTTCGCTTTTTTCGCTGCCTACCGCAAGAAAATCATTATCTCAACTCTCTCTTTTGAAGGAGCTTCTATCACGAGACTTCCTGTCCTCGAGGAGCTAATTCTACTTACTGTACTCACGATAACGTGCGAATCACGCGATTTTTCAGTTCTGGGTGGCGTATGTATCGTGTTCGTCGCAGTACAAGGACTCCGTACAGCTGACGTTACGGCAGATCGATGTGATCAGGCGATTTGTTGAGCGATACCCGGCCAATCTGCAATTCATCACCGCCGCGGAAGACATCGAGCCTACGTGGAGGAGCGGCAAAATAGCATCCATGATAGGCGTCGAGGGTGGTCACTCCCTGGACTCGAGCCTGGCGATCCTGAGGCTGTATTATGACCTCGGGGTTCGTTACGTTACCCTGACTCACACCTGCAACACACCGTGGTACGTTGCACGGATGTGACACGTATACACGGGTGCACGGAATCTTCCCGCTTATCATAATTAGATGCATTAATGCATAAAATGGCAGTGCTGAAGGTTCGAATTGCGTGATGTAAAGATATGACGCCCAGCTTTCAATCCCCACACGTGCCCCACACACACACGAACTTCACAAATTCTTATCCGTCGCGATAATGATTGATATTTTGATACGATCTACAAACCTGCTTGAAGCAGCTTTTTATATTAGAAGACAAAAATCTTTTATACTCATATTTCAAATAATAAGATTCATCTTTAAACTTGCAATGAGTTTTACCTTTATTTTAACAGGGCCGATGCATCGCCCATGGATGATGGATACGTATACAATCTGACGGAATTTGGACAGGTGAGAACTTTTGCAATTATCGCTGCTATTTTTAAGATTGATGTCATTCTTTAGCTTTCTTCTTAACTGATGGAAAACCCTACATTTTGCAAGCGCATGAGCGTATCTTGATAATTGATGAGATGGCAGCGATTTATCGATATGAAACGGCCCGAAGTAACTAAGAAGTATGACAGATTGCTAAGATCGACGCGATATACTTAAGTTCGCATGAAAACACATGTCAAACGATTAAATAAAAATAAAATAACTGAACTCTTGATTGTCTCTTGTATCACATAACTATAGCTTTCGAGAGATACACATTTTTTTATCGCTCGTTAATCGCATATTATATCAAGTAAAATGGTTCAATCTTTAAAAACTGAAAGATTTTTTAATATCGCCGCTAACAATGATATTTAATGAATTATAGACGGTGGTTTATGAAATGAATCGAATTGGAATGCTGGTCGATCTGTCTCATGTCTCTCACAATGTTATGAGAGATGTGCTCGCGATAACAAGGGCTCCCGTCATATTTTCGCATTCGTCCGCTTTCAGCGTATGCGGACACTACAGAAACGTTCCCGATGACGTCCTTCATCTAGTCGTAAGTGCCTTCGGCATTTTGCAAAAATTTCCCCTCGAAACACTCGCATAAATTTCAAGAGCATTTCTTCTTTTTAGAAAAAAAACAATGGTATCGTCATGGTGAACTTCTACAGCGAATTCGTAAACTGCAATTCTTCGAGGAACGCAACAATGGAGGATGTCATAAGTATTGTCTTCAATTCTACGATACGACATATGACTTAACACAGTAAAACTAAAGAGATAAAGACTGATTTTAATTTTTTGCTTGATGATTTTTAAACGTTAATTATTTTAAAAATGTTATATATAAATTTTAATAATCTTTGAGGAAATATTGCGTAATAATGAAGGATGTCACAAGTATTGTCAATAACGTGATATGGCATATGACTTGATAATAAATCATTGTAAAACTAAAGAGATAAAGGCTGATCCTAACATGACAATTTTTAAAAGTTAAAGATGATAACAAATATACTTTGTTGTAAAGTAATATACAGATATTATACTTTGACTCACTTTGCGGCTTTCAAGATTATTATCAATTTTAGTACAGAAAACTGAATATCCTATTCGATGTCAACTTTAATTAATTAATTGTACATTAATGTTTTTAGAACATATAAATCACATTCGAAATCTTATCGGAGTAGATCACGTTGGTATCGGCGGAGATTATGATGGTGTAGGCTCGTAAGTAATTACATTGACCTTAATAGATCATTCATAATTATTACATATTCGTGATTATTACATGATAAGTCAATAAATCAATGCAGAAAAAATGTATTTAATAAAATTAATCAGAATGCCGGTGGGTTTGGACGATGTTTCGAAATACCCCAATCTATTCGATCGTTTATATGAGAGTCGGGAAGGCGAGCCAACGTGGACTAAAGAGGATTTAGAGAAATTGGCTGGAAGGAACTTTATTCGAGTTTTCCAAGCTGTGGAAGCGGTAAGTATATTTGTATTAATACAATACAGGTGATAAAGATAATATTTAATATTTATTTTTTACTAAAATTTGTTTCTTATTACAAATCTGTTACGAAAAGGTGCGAGATTCATTAAAGTCCGAATCGCCTCGAGAAGATGTTATAACAGGAAATGAATTATATATTGCACAAAAAAGAGAAGGGCTTAATCCAGGCTCATGTCAAAGTGCAATCGAGTAAGTTGATAAATTAAATTAACAAGATAAAATTTATTATCTTGCATAAGTATTATCTTATTAATTTAATTTATCGTGGAAAAATCTGATGGTTTCTTTTTATGATATTCGATATCCAAAGTTCTTTAATTGCGTGTATATGTCTTGTTTCAGATGGAACGACGTAAATACAACAGATATTGAACAATCTGTTAGTTTAAGTACCATTACAAATAAAGCACGCGTATATAGAAGTCTTGAAGTGGAGGGTTGTTAAATCAGAGACAATGTGGAAACATGTAAAATGTGATACTTTATTAATATAATTAATATTAAAAAGCAGATATGAAAATGTTAGATAAGATTATGGTGTAATATCATTTATTTTATTTTCTTTCCTCTACTCACGATTAACTCTAATTTAAACAAGAAATATATTGCGAAATATTTATCAAACAGATATTAAAATAATGTACTATTTTCATGAGATTTTTAAAAATCTTTTCAATTTTAACAATTTTCACAAAGTGAATTAAAATGTATATAATATCGAGTACATAAATGATTCTCCAAATTTAATAAAAATACA